GGACTTACTTAACGCGTACATTCGTACACCCTACACAATATAGCACCTTATTCTACACGTGTTCCTTTTGCTTCAGCTAACTGTAAAAAGAATAGTGAAAATCGTACTCATAGTAAAAGTACACATGATCTCTCAGCACCGCATTCCACCCCCTCCAGCAAACTTCCCCATCCTCGCCGGGCTGTCGCCAGGAGAGCTCTAACGTTAATTACTCAACCCGCATTCGAATCACGGCATTTTAAAAAGTATCAGTCGCCAAATTGCTACGTGAAAATTCATACAAATTTGTCTGGATTATTGTACAAGTAGATTTATCGGTGTCCCATAACGAATAACTTGGTGTATAGGACGTAGTTTTGGCTACTTCTACGAGGCCCCCTGAAAATAATTAAATAACTTTAGTTCAACAAATACTTTTGAGAATTAGCCTAACAGCGCTACCCTGCCACCCTGTCCACACCGTGTCGTCGCAGGCGGAGGCGGCGATCCGGACAGCTGGACCCCTCACAATGCCCCACTTCGCCATTGACAACCCAACCGTTTGGAATGACGAGGTTCCAACAGACAATATCGAAGAAAAAGAGCTATTGGTACAAAAAAAGTCTTATCTCACTTCTGCTACAAGTACAACACAATCGTCCAGCAAACTGTGGACGAACATCTACTGTAAAAACTCACAATAGGTGAAAAGGTGATGAATAAATGAGTAAATTGTTGACGTCAATTTACTTGAAACGACTGAATTGTTAGTTTGAATCTTGAAATTGCGACCAGAATATTGAATTGGAGAGGTGACGGAAGGTCACTGTAGGGCCTCTGACCGGGAGGTCCTGTGGTTCGAGTCCCGACAGTGGCAGGATTTTCGCCACTAGGCTGATAGCTACGTCGAGTTCAGTCGCTGTCTGGAGAAGTCTAGCGACCGACTGCTCTGATCGGTAGATCTCCATGGTTTCGACGTCCAATACAAGGTGAATAAATAAGAACAGTACACTGCCAAACGGACTGCGGACCGCGTGGGATCTTCCCTCCCCATTCCTTGTCCTATCGTATCCCCAAACACACTTACACTTACATGCTCTATACTACCACACATGCCGGAAGACCGATTGGCAGCGTAGAGCTGGGCAGTTGACCGTTGGTGGGAGACACCTGGTTGGGGAAAACCCCGCCAGCTGACGGTAGGTCGGCGCCGGATCTCGCCATTCTGCGGAACATCACCGCCACCTTCCAAGAAAAAAACATGCTCTACACTTACGGGACTACTAACCTTAGCCATTGACGCGTCCGGAATCACTACCAATAAACCAGCCATTGAAATTTCGAATCGATATGTGCAATTCTCGATCGATATGTGTTAATATTATGGTAAACAAAACTTCCTCTCATTTCTCAACTGATTAATGTCCTAAATTATCTTTAGATTAACGCACTAAATTTGCATGCTAGTGTATACTTAGAATTAAGAGGCACTGAATTCGGATCAGACACTTCGGGATTTAGGACTTGGTAATTAGACGCAAGCGATGAACACTAAGTTAGATTATAACACAAAACCTTCGGCTTCATAATTTCGCTAACCGTTTAAATTACTTAAAATTGCGGTTAAGTGATGTATTGAAGGCGCTGAGATAAAAGTACTGTCACTAGCGACATTAAACCCAACTTCACGATATCTCACACTTGAAAATCCAATCTCTCGGACTGTAGTTATATATACGAGCATGCAACCATGATACATAATACACAATTTTTTACGAACGTACGTTTTACATTCTGTGCAGTATAAACATTAATTCAATTTATTTTGGGCCTTTCGTAACCAAATCATATTAACAATGCCCGCCACATTAATTTGTAAATAAATGTATTCAACCTATATCACTCCGAAACACGCCATGCTGAAATTCGATGATAAAATCGATTGACAGGATCAATCTGTATTAGATCAAAAACTTATCCCTTATCATGTTGACTCACAGTTACAAGTCAACTCTTCTCCCTATGAGGTGTCATGCACTAAAATGACGTAGTTTACTTGAACTTAACTTTCACTTTATCCCTTCCTTTCCTAAAGAGCATTATGTACGTTTATGGAACGTTTACATAGAGGTTCTTTAACGACAGTGCGCCTAGAGCTCAGTGTCCTATAATGAAATACCCACAATCAAAAGTAATCTCCACACAGAATGGTTACTGCCATACTTCCGCTCTACTATTAAATCCACAACTACAAGCTGTAGTTTCCAATTGCAGCAATCGATGGATTTTATTATTACAATTACATATCATAGATATGATACTAAGTAACCCATCACAAATGGTAGTGTTGTGTTCAGTTCCAGCCAATGAAAGTGCCTCTGTGTTACGATCGTGATAATATGAAGAATAAGTGTGGGAGTAAGTATTGTTACTACAATAATTATACTATATTCTTATATTATAATAAAAATGAACCATGGTGAAAGAACTACGAAAGAATAACAAAAACACGCGAAAATATATTTTACCAATTACCAACTTCAAACAGAGTGTTCGGGATTAAATACTCTGCGCCAAGACAGTTTTGTGGTTAGAGAAACAAGAAAATGGAAATTTAACAAAGATTACACAAAACTCGGTTTCAAATAGGCACTGCTTGCAAATTACACAAAAACTTTACACTTATATCCAGTACAATCTTCTCGAGTTCCTCCTCCAAAATAGTTTAAACGCTACCAATTTTCTCTTCCAGTCCACCTCATCTCATTTCATAATCAATCGCCATAACGAACGAAAGAGATGAGAATGCCAGCGAGCAAATAACTTTCATGCTCGGTGAACTTATTATTCGCCCCTCCGTTTCTAAAAGGAAGCCAACGAAACGTCAACACCCGCAATGTCTGAGAGAGAGAGAGGAGTGTTGACAATGCCTTTGCAAAGCACACGCCTCGCGTGTTTTTGTCATCAAGTCACTCCCACGCCAGGTCTCGTGCAGGACTATACTATCGTAGACGTGGCGAAATGTTGACTTGATCGCGAACACGGAACACGCAGCGATGCCAGCAAATAATTGCGGAGAGACCAAAGCAACTTCATCTGCATTCATTTCGTAGATACGAACGTCACAACAATTGCCTTTTCGGAAGAAAAACACAGACGTTAGACACAAAGTAGACGAAAATGCACTTTATTCCTCCTTGTTCTTTTTTGACTTTTGACACTGAGCAAGTTAATAACAATTACACAAGCAATTTCTGAATCAATAAATGAAAAACGGAAAAGGATAACAGGAAAACTATGTCACTCTGGGTGTCTTAGTCACCGATTTACAGCGTTAGGTATGATTAAATAATAATAATAATAATAATAATAATACGATTTTATTTGCATATTACGGTATTTTAATTTGTATTCATAATCTTTCCGAATTTCCGATAAAACATTCAATATTGTCCTTTACATTACCTGAAAAAGTACACAAACCCATACAGGAACATCGCATTACTACATTCCTTCCAGTGTGAAAAGTCGTGTCCCAGAACGCGGGTGAGTCCCCGGGTACCAGGTCGCCACAATGCTTACCTTCTTTCCCAACCTCAAAGCTTCCGGGCATGGTTCTCTTATTGTTCGCTCGACAGACTTCCCATTAGCACTGCATTCGCATGGCCTCCTCGAACTGACAGGAAACCGACCGAAACGCATAACTTACATTTTCGCAAACATGTTTACCAACATTGTAATTCTACGAGAAAAAATGAATCCCTATGGATGAATCGCCACAAACCTCTACTCGGCAACAAAGAGCAGACTGAGCAACATACCCTGTTGCACTCCAAACCTCAGCAAGAATGTAGAAAGAATCGATTTGTCATGATCATCACGATCAAAATACACAAACATCTGCCCGATGACTCACTGGTAAGCAACTGGGTATAACAATGGAATTCTCTGGCACCAACTCATCATTCTAAGAAAGCATGCTCCCTCGTTCGATTCTAACACGCACATGCTATCTAAAAGAGAACGCATGTACATTAAAATTATATTTACTAAGTGTAGTGTAAAGAGAAATTATCGTTCATTAACGTACCATGAAGTATCCCAACGAAAATAAAAATATTTCAGAGGTTGTACACAAAGTAATTAATATACGAGAGAACGAACAACGCGTGAGAAACAGCAACGCTCCCACAAATTTCTTCAGAAACGAATGGGTTTGCGTAGCTTCAAGAAAACAAGCAAGGTCCCCAAACCGTCACTGAGGATGAACCTTGAGTAACGCCCGAAGTCGAATATTCACTCTGGACGAACTCAATGCGTTAAAAACAGTATCTGATCTCACGAATTTCTTCGCAAAGAACCGATCACTACGAATCAATTCATACAGTGCAAACCAAACGGGTAGGGCGTCAAGACGTCACCAGGAACGACCCTAGTTTAACACCGGAAATCGGGTACTCATTCTGGAGGTACTCAAAGAAAAAGAGCCACTAACGTCTTCGGAACAATCCACCATCAGGAATTCTTGTAGTACCACCCAAACAGGAAATATCGCTGGCTCTTCAGCGACACCGGAAATCGGATTCTCACTCAGGACGAATTCAACGGCATTAAATACCGCCAGTCCCCCACAAATTTCTTCGGAAACCCATCACTATGAATCGCTTCTTGCAATACGACCTAAACATGACACATCTGTCGCTCTTGAGCAACACCGGAAGTCGGATACTCACTCAGGACGAATTCAATGGCGTGAAATATAGCCAGTCGCCCACAAATTTCTCGGAAAACCAATCACTACGCATCGCTTCTTGTCATACCACCCCAAACGGGCCACGTCTTACGCCCTTGAGCAACGCCGGAAGTCGGATACTCACTCAGGACGAATTCAATGGCGTGAAATATAGCCAATCCCCCACAAATTTCTTCGAAAACCCATCACTACGAATCGCTTCTTGCCATACCACCCCAAACGGGCCACGTCTTACGCCCTTGAGCAACGCCGGAAGTCGGATACTCACTCTGGAGCAGCGTCCAACTGTGACAGCACGTGACGGCGATGTCGCCCATGGTGGTCGGGGTGGTCGCGGCCGTCGTGACGGCCCCCGTCGCCGCCGCCGCCGTCGTCGGCTCGTGCGCGCGCCCGCACGCCAGCCCTCCGCACGCCGCGTGCTACGTGCGTCGGCCGAAATCCGCCGCCGCCCCCCAGCTGGCTCGCGCTCCTCCTGCTGCCTGCTGGCGCCGCCTCAGGAGCCGCCGCAGACTGGGAAGGCGGCGGGCGGGAGGCGGCGGGCCTCGCCGCCAACCGCCGCCGCCGCCGCCGCCCCGCCGCCACCGCCGCTCCCACTGGCGCAGCCAGCGGGAAGCTGTGACGACGGCGGCCGGTGGGGCGAGCAGCGGCGGCGGCGGCGCGGCGGTGGAGACGGCAGCCGTGCGGTGACGAAGAGAATGTTCGAAAAGTGGCGGAGAAACAACGGCGCCGCCGGCAGCGCTGGACGTGGGAAATCACCAAGAGTCCAACACGGCCGAAGGAAGGCCACGATATCAATAGAGATGAGTGAGACATGGGAGATTAGAAGCCAAAGAATAAGGAATACAAAAACGATGACCACAGAAATACCATGAAGGAACGAAATGACGAAAAACAACAATTAGGAGCATGAGAGAACTTAGTAAAATTACAGAGAAAAACGGAGATATTCAAACGGGATATATTCGTTAGCATCGTTTCGGATAATAATTTCCCGTTAAAAGTCCTCCGAAATAGAAGCATGATCCGTCAGGATATACTCTTCACGCATAGACAAAAAAAAAAAACACATGAAAGGTACACAGACAAGCGGACAGAGAAGAAGACAATGAGGTGAACCATGTAGATAAAGCCTGGTCAAATAACATAATACAGGAATAGAGGAAATACT